AAGACCCTGGGGGCAGTGTTAAAAACCATTAAAAAAAGTCTTAATACTAAAAATTATATGGATGAAATTGCAAAACAACTACGGGACGCAATAATAACATCATATCACAATAACTGCTCGTTAAAGAACAGGAAAACTTTTAGGGAAGTGAGCTGGTGGGACACTGAACTCGCCAAGCTCAGAAAGAAACCACGTAAACTTTTTAATAAGGGTAAAAAGAAAAATGAGTGGGGGGAATACACCGAAACACTCACAGATTATAACAAAACTCTTAGAAAATCTAAGAGGGATTCATGGAGATTGTCAGAAAATTGAAAATACAACTGAAGACTCCATCGCATTCTAGCAAAAGATCCAATAGACCCTGTGGGACTTTAAAAACCCAAACAGGGGAATACACTAAAACTGAAATGGAAAATTAGAATTACTTCTTAAAACTCACAAAATACCAAATTCACTGGCAACAGATAAGACGGCACAGAATCAGACCAAACCCACGCATTGCTACGAATACACTACAACTCTCAAGGCCTCAGATATCCACCACTGTGTGATTACTAATGGGGCGAATGCGAAGCTGTTACTAGGCGATGTTTCATCCTTTTCGGCCTAGAACCGGAAAGAACGCCCCAGGAACACTTGGTAGGGAACCTTTTAAAACTAACCAAAGACACAGGACTATTCCAAAGATTGTACCTTGATACGGGAAAAGCAGGGGAATATAATAGACCTAAGAGGCCGCAGTGTTCTGGGCCAAACCTAATCCTACCTGCTTACAACCGATAAAGATAAAGATAGAAGACTATGATCGAAATCGAGGTAGCCAATAAATCTATGAGTGCAAATTTTTACATTGGAAATTAAACTTTTTAATCCAACTTTCTTACATCTACATTTTTGCCGCTACGTTTCAAACATAAAACAAATTATAGGTGACACATTTCTTGACTAAAATAATTGGATTTTTAAGTAAGGAACTTAGATTAAAGAGACCGAGGATGTAACATTGCACACTGCGCATGTTGTCTATTTTAATCCAAAGTAACCCACCAATTGAAAATCATTGTATGCACGACGCCACCCGAATTGCTCCGATTTTTCCATTCATCCATCACCTTCACCTGTGTTTAATCACCATTGACAGCTGTTTTTTGATTTATTTGTTGGTATTTTAGCAATTTAAAGTGTTCTAGTTATTCAATTTCAAGTTCAAAATGCCACGACGTATCTTGAAAAATTGTATGTACTTATAATACAACTACTAATATTATGAATATATTCGTTTTCAGTGGTAAATATTTATTAACGTTTTGACATAAAGCGCCATGATTCTCTGGGCTGAATACTTCAGATCCGCATTAAGGGGTTTCAATAAATATTAAGCATCAGAAATCAGATTTCATATTACTTACATAAATTTACAAAAAGGTAAAATTTTGAACATTTAATTTAAATAAAAAGTAAATAGGCATTGTTGCTAACAAAATTTTGTATTTAAAAAGTAGTTTTATAAGAATGTTTTCTAAAGGTGGTTTATTTAGCCCTTTTTGGTAGATAAATAAGAAGTAAACAATCATAGTTGCTAGCTAAATTTTATTTTTATAAGGTATTTTTATAAGAATATTAGATTAAATACAGGATTACCTACTTAAAATTTCAAGGTTCATCTTATTTGCGGTCAAATCGAAAAGTGACATTTGAATCTTCAGTCTTAAAACAAAATAAAACGCACCATATGATCTAGTATAAGCAAAAAAAAATACTTGTTTTTACACCGATCCTGGGATAATTCTCTTAACTTAGTCTTAAATAGACGAGTAATTACGGACCTTACCTGATGATGAGGATCTGATCCTCGAAACCGGTCGTAATAAAATATACTCTTGTGAGATCCTAAGGACCACCCTTGTTTGATTTACCTTTTCTGAACTTATAACTCACACATGGCTACCACCTTCAACTTTAATTAAAAAATACTAAAGTTACGGGAGTTGGTCACATTAATAAAATGTTACATTACAAATACCTAAACAACTCGAACAAAATTTTTGTTTACTAAAAAAATCCAAAATTTAGCAATATTTATTATTTATTATACAATCGAATGCGGTTTCAAAGATAACGGGATCAAAAAATTCGAATCTCTAAATTTTGGAGCTAAATGCTCGGATAAAGGCAAGCGACCGATAGGGGTTACAAAAATAATCGATTTATCGATAATTCTGATATTTTTTTATGAAAATCGATTTATCAGCTGTTTTTAATAAATTATTTTTGTTTTCTTAAAATAATGTATTAATCGATTTAAAAGGAAATACAAGAAAAAGTAGATTTATTCAAAATAATCGATTTTCATTAATTCGGTTTTTTCAATATTTGATTATATGAAAATAATCGATTGAATATAATCGGTTATTTTATATAACCGATATTTTGGTTATTTTTTTAAAATTATCGATTAATTGGTTAATCAGCTTTTTAATAATCGATTATTTTCGATAATTGAATAATCAATTTTAAAGGAAATATTAAATAAAGGATTATTAGAAAATAATAGATAATTCGTTTTATTTTTTGGAAAATCGATTTATCATAGAATCGGCTTCTTAATAAATTGGTTATTTTCGATTAGGCGATTATTTTGGAATTATCGATTATTTTCGGTATTTCAAAGATAATCGAATTATCGATTTTAAAGGAAATACAATAAAATAGATTATTGATAATAATCGATTTATCATAGAATCGGCTTCTTAATTAATTGGTTATTTGCGATTAGGCGATTATTTTGGAATTATCGATTATTTTCGGTATTTCAAAGATAATCAAATTATCGATTTTAAAGGAAATACAATAAAATAGATTATTAATAATAATCGATTTATCATAGAATATGCTTCGTAATTAATTGGTTATTTTCGATTAGGCGATTATTTTGGAATTATCGATTATTTTCGGTATTTCAAAGATAATCGATTTTAAAGGATATACAATAAAATAGATTATTGATTAAAATCGATTTATCATAGAATCGGCTTCTTAATTAATTGGTTATTTTCGATTAGGCGATTATTTTGGAATTATCGATTATTTTCGGTATTTCAAAGATAATCGAATTATTGATTTTAAAGGATATACAACAAAAAAGATTATTGATTAAAATCGATTTATCATAGAATCGGCTTCTTAATTGATTGGTTATTTTCGATTAGGCGATTATTTTGGAATTATCGATTATTTTCGGTATTTCAAAGATAATCGATTTTAAAGGATATACAATAAAATAGATTATTGATTAAAATCGATTTATCATAGAATCGGCTTCTTAATTAATTGGTTATTTTCGATTAGGCGATTATTTTGAAATTATCGATTATTTTCGGTATTTCAAAGATAATCGATTTTAAAGGATATACAATAAAATAGATGATTGATTAAAATCGATTTATCATAGAATCGGCTTCTTAATTAATTGGTTATTTTCGATTAGGCGATTATTTTGGAATTATCGATTATTTTCGGTATTTCAAACAATCGAATTATCGATTTTAAAGGATATACAACAAAATAGATTATTGATTAAAATCGATTTATCATAGAATCGGCTTCTTAATTAATTAGTTATTTTCGATTAGGCGATTATTTTGGTATTATCGATTATTTTCGGTATTTCAAAGATAATCGAATTATCGATTTTAAAGGATATGCAATAAAAGAGATTATTGATAATAATCGGTCGATGAAAAATAATCGATTATTTAAAATATTCCATAATTCTCTCTTTTTTTTTTTGAAAATTGATTTATCAGTTAATCGACTTTTTAATTAATCGAATATTTTTTATTAATCGATTATTTTCGATTTTTTAAAGATTATCGAATAATCTGTTTCCACGGACGAAAAAAAAATGGTTTATTTGAAAATAATCGATTATTTAAAATAAACGATTATTTAAAATAAACGATAATTCTTTTTTTATTATATTTTGTAAACACTTATTTATCGGTTAATTGGCTTTTTAATTAATCGATTATTTTTGATTTTTCAAAGTAGTCAATTTTAAAGGAAATGACAAAAAAATATATTGTTTGAAAATAATCGATTGATCGAAAATAATCGATTATTTTTAATTATCGCTAATTTATTTCGATAATCACTCATCCCTAGCGACCAAATGACTTTTAATAGATTTAAATTTTAAAATGTTATCTGGTTTCAGACATATGCATTTTTAGAGTTTTATGTGACTCATCCTTTATATTAATTAATATTCCTAAAGAAAGAAGCCTTTTTCTAAAGTCATAATACAAAACAGCATTTTCTCATTTTGACTAATTTTTATTATTATGTAATAGCCGTAGAAAAAATATAATGTTCAACTCATAAGGTTAGATTTGCAGTATTCGCCTGTGCACATGCTATTCTTGTAATACTTGTAGACAATGTTTTTGCTCTATTAACAATATATTCTATTTTAACATTTTACTGTAATCTCTTGCAGAAAAGTCCGTAGTAAATAAACGCTAACGAAATATTCTATAAAAAGTCTTCTCTTTACATAAAATGTCGTGGCATCTGTTTGATATTAAAAAATCACGTTAATTTTATTTCATTAATACAAAATTAGATTAAACACCTTTTAAATAAATCTAATAGTTCATTATGATGCTAATAAACAAAGTCCGGTCCCTGCCACAGAGTTCGGGTCGCCGCGTGTCGTCGCCCAGTTCCCCCACTCCGTTAACCTTTCTTTAGAAATTGGCAACATTTGCGCAGGTTAAACACCGGTGTATGTTATATCTCTGGTCTCTTTTATCTAAGGTAAGAACACAACTATACATTTGTAGTATAACCAGACTAACAAGTATCACTGGGTATACGTCATTGTTCCACTTCAGTATTTTTTCATCCTGCAGATTTTTTCCGGATTATAATTGATTGTAATAAATCTTAACAACCTCTCAATACATTATAAATTATAATTTTTATTAAATACTTACCATTAGAAGTATGAGTTTCTTGCAAAATTTGCAATTCTAAAGGTGCATTAGGGTCAGCTACTCCTTTTAACCTTTTGATGACACCATCGACGAGTTCTTGTCTGTTGCTAGCAAAGACTCCTAGATGATCTCCGGGCTTGTAAGGAAGATTACTTTTAAACGCAAGCAGTAATGTTGCTTTGGATGATTTGTTTCCGTGTAAGTTAGTTCTTCGGATAAGCTCAGAAGAAGATACCTACGAGTATTTAAAAAATATAAAATAAGTGATGAGTCTAAAGCGAAAATGATGAAGGTTATTAAAAATTAGTACTCTGTGAATTGAATTTTAAGTATTTGAAACCGAAATGGTTTTAGAGCAGGAATATTAAGAAAAATTAGTTTTCTCTTTACTTTTAGACCTAATTTGTGTTAATAAAATTTTGTTGTATGTGCAATTCATTTCAAGTATAATTTCTAAGTAATTAAGATGAACAGAGCAGCTAAATACCCTTTTTAGGCAAAATGAATGTAAAAGAACGTATAAATCTCTAATAGCACATTTTTATATAAACTGGCTTGCAGAACATATGTGGAAACCAGTAAAAAATAATGTTGATCGATAGATAAGGCTATTAAAATATGGAAATTCAAACGATTAACACTAATGATGAACCAATGATGACAAAATAACGAAATTAGGATAATCTAAGGTATTTCTTAAAAGGGTTTTGGTAAAATATATAAATTTTAACCTACCTTTTTATTATGACACTTTGAAAGTCCAGCAGTAAGTGGAACGGTCGTAGCTTCGATAAATCTAACGTTATTTATGGTTAAAGATTCACTTTGAAGTGACATTGTAGCTTCCAAGAACGTGCCATCGTCGTCAAGGCAAAAGGTATCGCAGGCAACCTTAAAAGTAATAAACAATATATTTGTAATGGTTTTATAAAAATACAAAACTCAAAATTAATAATAATTAATAAAAATTTGAAAATATACATAAAAAATAATGCATATATCATTGACTATTTTTTCTTTAGGGAAATAGTCAATATAACACCACCATAATTAATATTCTGCAATTCTTTTTGTCCAAAAAAGTACAAAAAAAGTCAAAAAGGTCCAAAAAAGTCCAAAAAAGTCGAAAAAGTCCAAAAATGTCCAAAAGTCAAGAAAATTCCAAAAAGTAAAAAAAAAAATCAAAAGTCTAAAAAAGTCCGAAAAATTCCAAAAAAGACCACTAGTCCAATAAATTAAAAAAAAATGGTTAAAAAAGTCTAAAAAAGTCAAAAAAGACAAAAAAGTCCAATAATGTCCAAAAAGTCGAGAAAATTAAAAAAGTCAAAAAAGTCAAAAAAGTCAAAAAAGTCAAAAAAGTCAAAAAAGTCAAAAAAGTCAAAAAAGTAAAAAAAGTCGAAAAAGTCAAAAAAGTAAAAAATGTCACAAAAGTTAAAAATGTCAAAAAAGTCAAAAATGTTAAAAAAAAATCCAAAAAAGTTAAAAGTCCAAAAAAGTCCAAAAAAATCAAAAAGTCAAGAAAATTCCTAGAAGTCAAAAAGTGAAAAAAGTCCAAAAAAAAGTCCAAAAAACTCCAAAAAAAATCCAAAAAAGTCAAGAAAATTCCAAGAAGTCAAAAATACAAAGTTTCAAAAAGTCAAAAAATTAAAAAAAAATGGTTAAAAAAGTCCAAAAATAATCAAAAAGACAAGAAAATTCCAAAAAGTCAAAAAAAAAATCAAAAGTCTAAAAAAGTCCGAAAAATTCCAAAAAAGACCACTAGTCCAATAAATTAAAAAAAATTGGTTAAATAAGTCTAAAAAAGTCAAAAAAGTCCAATAATGTCCAAAAAGTCGAGAAAATTAAAAAAGTCAAGCAAGTCAAAAAAGTCAAAAAAGTCGAAAAAGTCAAAAAAGTAAAAAATGTCACAAAAGTTAAAAATGTCAAAAAAAGTCAAAAATGTTAAAAAAAAAATCCAAAAAAGTTAAAAAAGTCCAAAAAAGTAAAAAAAGTCCAAAAAAATCAAAAAGTCAAGAAAATTCCAAGAAGTCAAAAAGTGAAAAAAGTCCAAAAAACTCCAAAAAAATCCAAAAAAGTCAAGAAAATTCCAAGAAGTCAAAAATCCAAAGTTTCAAAAAGTCAAAAATCAAAAAATTAAAAAAAAATGGTTAAAAAAGTCCAAAAAAAAATCAAAAAGTAAAAAAAACAGTAAAAAAGTCCAAAAAGTCAAAAAAGACAAAAAGTCCAATAATGTCCAAAAAGTCAAGAAAATTTAAAAAAGTCAAGCAAGTCAAAAAAGTAAAGAAAGTCGAAAAAAGTCAAAAATGTCAAAAAAAGTAAAAAAAGTAAAAAAAGTAAAAAAGTCAAAAAATGTTAAAAAAGTCCAAAAAAAAGTAAAAAAAAGTCCAAAAAAATCAAAAAGTTAAGAAAATTCCAAGAAGTCAAAAAGTAAAAAAAAGTCCAAAAAAGTCAAAAAATTAGAGTCAAGAAGTCAAAAAAGTAAAGTAAAGAAAAGTGCAAAAAAGTAAAAAAATCCAAAAGAGTCCAATAAAAGTAAATCAAAAGAGTTCGGAAAAGGCAAAAGTCAAAAAAGTAGAAAAATTCCAAAAAAGTAAAAAAGGTCAAAAAAATCGAAAAAAGTCAGGAGTGAAAAAAAGTCAAAAAGTAACAAAATCTAAAAAAAAATATCAAAAGAAAAAGTAAGAATATTAAAAATTTAAAAGAAGTAGAAAGCAAGAAAGTCAAAAAAATTGAAAAGTTAAAGTCAAAGTCAAAAAAATTTAAAAAGTAAAAAGTCAAAGAAAACCCAAAAAAGTAAAACAAAGTCCGAAAATAGTCCAAACAAGCCAAAAAAATATTCAGAAAAGTAAAAAAGTCAAAAATGTTCAAAAAAGAAAAAAAGTCAAAAAAGTACAAAAAGTCCCAAAAAGTAAAAAAACGTCCAAAAAGTTTAAAAAAGTCTAAAAAAAGTAAAAAAAAGTAGCAAAATGTCAAAAAAAAGTCAAAAATAAAAAAAAAAATGAACAAGTAAAACTATTTAAAAAAGTAAAAGAACTAAAATCAGAAAAGTAAAAAAAAATCAAAAATAAAAAACTCCAAAAACTAAAAAGTTAAAAGCCAAAAATAGCCAAAAAAGTTCAAAGAAAGTTCAAAGAAAGTTCAAAGAAAGTTCAAAGAAAGTTCAAAGAAAGTTCAAAGAAAGTTCAAAGAAAGTTCAAAGAAAGTTCAAAGAAAGTTCAAAGAAAGTTCAAAGAAAGTTCAAAGAAAGTTCAAAGAAAGTTCAAAGAAAGTTCAAAGAAAGTTCAAAGAAAGTTCAAAGAAAGTTCAAAGAAAGTTCAAAGAAAGTTCAAAGAAAGTTCAAAGAAAGTTCAAAGAAAGTTCAAAGAAAGTTCAAAGAAAGTTCAAAGAAAGTTCAAAGAAAGTTCAAAGAAAGTTCAAAGAAAGTTCAAAGAAAGTTCAAAGAAAGTTCAAAGAAAGTTCAAAGAAAGTTCAAAGAAAGTTCAAAGAAAGTTCAAAGAAAGTTCAAAGAAAGTTCAAAGAAAGTTCAAAGAAAGTTCAAAGAAAGTTCAAAGAAAGTTCAAAGAAAGTTCAAAGAAAGTTCAAAGAAAGTTCAAAGAAAGTTCAAAGAAAGTTCAAAGAAAGTTTAAAGAAAGTTCGAAGAAGGCAAAAAGACAAAAAAGTCAAAAAAAGTACAAAAATTCCAAAAAGTTCTAAAAATCGAAAAGTCAAAAGAGTCAAAACAAGTCCATAAAGGAACAAAATTTTAAAAAAGCAGTTAAAAAAGTCAAACCAAAAGTAAAAAAAAGTAATATTTAAAAAAGTAAAAATATTAAAAAAAGTAAAAGAGAAAAAGTCAAAAAAAGTAAAAATTAAAAAAAAAATAAAAAAGTCAAAGAAATAGGTCCAAAAAGAGTCAAAAAATGGCCCAGACAAAGTTCAAAAAAGCAAAAAAATGTCAAAAAAGTACAAAAAGTCCAAAAAAAGTTAAAAATGCGAAAAAGTTTTAAAAAGTCGAAAAAATCAAGAGTTAAAAAAATCAAGAGTCAAAAAAGTCAAAAAAGTCAAAAAAGTCAAAAAAGTAAAAAAAAAGTCAAAAAAGTAAAAAAAAAGTCAAAAAGTAAAAAAAAAGTCAAAAAGTAAAAAAATATATTAAAAATAAAAATAATTAAAACAAACTTCGCGGTATATTTTCTGTCTGGTAACAAAGAACACCTTCCGAGATCGATTCATTTATAGAAAGCATTACTTAGTCTGAGGGAGCACGTGCAGGAGTCCTATGTACAGAAACTAGCAATGCCCAAGATAGCTGAATTAGAAGATCTTTAGAAACATGATAAAAGCAATCTTCTAACATGCTGAGGTTAAAATACTGGTC